CTTTTTTTTCCGCCCGAGAAAGTCCACTACTGGACTCGGGTCTCTACCGTTTAAGGAAGGATTTGTCTTTATCTTCACGCTTGGCAGGTGATTGACAATCGCAGTATCAGACGTCTTGCATATTTGTCGATGCTGCACGTCGCCACAACTTGACTACTATCTCACTCCGAAAATGGTAAAGTGCAATGACTTAACCATCTTGGGCTTCATCACCATTTACCACCAGGTAGGATTGTGGTCAAGGTATAGCTTATAACAAGTAGAAAAACTTAGCTTATCAAAAGCCCATTCGTTCATTATTTACTATTTTCGGCCTCCTCTATTCATTCTTTCCTTGAAAACATCTACATTGTAATCGAAATGAAAGATAAATGCTGAAAAATTATCCTACGCATTACGAAAGACGAAGCAAACCGAAAAATTGGTTCGAATGCGCGGTTTGTCGATAACGAAGGGGTGACGACCAGCCGAGTGTCTGGTGGTCCGATGATGGACCGACGACGTCTGGTGTGAATGGTGTTATTACCACCATTTATCGGAAGCCTTAATTTTTCTGACATTGTTCAAAGTCACTTTGGGGAATAACAAAATTATGGTTTCCGATATTACCACCTAATTAAGACGTAAAGCACCCAGAACGGCGAATACTTCCCGCTACTCAGTAGCTAAAAATGTGAAAAACTTCTTATACGAGTGTTAATCCTCCCAACAACACGAGAAGCCCCTATATCCAGGAAACAGTAAATACTTTTAAAGATTATGTATGATGTTCTCCTGACGAATTTCGGTCAAACCAACCACCATCAAATATTATCTCGAGCGTGATGTAATATAATACTTACCACGAGAGAGAGCAAAACACGAAAGTAATTTCTTGTGGTAGCTACCTACAAGTTTTGGAAGCAAAACTTTATAATTTGTAAAATCGTAACCGTATTTTATATTATATTTTTGTGATTTGAGATTTTTGTTTTTATCACTTAAGAAACCTTTTTAAGTTTAATGAAATATATAAATAGTTCAAAGGTTTTCCTCTTTCACTTTTATGGACGTTGTTTTTATTTTGAACTTAATTTTAACATATATTATACCTTTGAAAGAATCAGACCCACTGACCTCTATATATACAAGTACGCTGGACTGGCTATACCATACAAAATGACTGTGCCAATTTGAAGCGCCGCTAAAGGATGTCTTGAAAAATAAAATTGACATAATATGGCAAAGTCTGTTGTCTTATTTATATTATCATATTTAAAAAGTCTGTATTTTGAACATTTAAACTAAAAAACGAAAGTATTTTATGTTGTTTAATTGTGTATAATATTAGTTACATTTTAAAAATTATTTTTAATAATAATGAGAGTGAGCTTAATCTATAAAACTCATTACCAAAAGGGAAGTCGTATAACATTACACAAGTAAGTGAATTTGCAGTTAATATTTAACAAATTAAAACTATTTGATAATATAAGCACTTAAAATTTTGTTACTAATCTTAATATCATATATACCAACATGTTTGGCTGTATATTACTGAGTTTTGATAAACAATAACATTCAATAGGGTTGTCGAGTTCCTTGTCTATAATACTTATCGATGTTCTTTCTGTTCTACCCATATCTGTTAACAAACAAAGTTGCCAATAAGAGATGATTATCAAATGTTTATTAATTAACAGGTTTCCAACAGATCCTAGACTAAAATTATGGTTTAAAAGCATATATATTGTGAATTGGCCTCCGAAACAAAATGATCATATTTGTTCCAAACATTTCACAGACGACTGTTTTATTAGACACGAGAAACTGCACCACTTTGAAAAAGTGCAGTATACCGACAATATTTTCTGGTAGTATCAGTACCAGTAAGTATAAAAGTATTAGATATTATTTGGAATGTTTTTTTTTATTTCTTCTTTCCTCATTTTCCACCAAACTCAGGGGCCATAGCCAAGTGTCGAAAGGTTGCCTGTTGATGTCGAGCCACGTTGGATGTGTGTTATTGGGCTGCGGCTAGAGGAGATTCCTCTCCCTGTACCGCTGTAGTTGAGGCGGAGTAGTAACGGAAGAGGAGTGTTGGTATTGGCGATGCGCCACTCGATTATCTTTCGTGATGATGTTCCATTCACATATCGGGCTCATGGAGTCCGTAGTGCAGGCGGAGTTAGAGGCCGCGAAGGGCAGTGTGGCTTGTATTTTTGGTGCGCCTTATCTGAGAAAGAAAACGGGGAGGAGACGCCAGCAACTAAGGAGAGGATGCCATTGGGTGGCTGGCGCCAGAGGGGCCGCGGATGTGCAGGAAAACGTTTCCGTGGCTCTGCAAATTTGCGGCGGAGGTAGAACACCATGGGGTTTTAGTAAGTGCGATCTAGAGATTTAATTCTCTCTCAATTGCAGGCATGTAATAGTATGAGTACATATTTGTGCTATTTTCTGTAGAGACTATTGGTCCGTAGGGTGCACGTGCGGTGTAGTTCCTAAAAAACTGTATGTGCGACTTACCATCACTGCTGGTAATAAGAAGTTGTTTAGTTTGTTGCTTCCTCGCTTAAGGCTTAATATAGCCATTCAGAGAGGACACGTAGCCAGCATTCTTGAGATGATACCACGGAAAGTAGGACTGTATGATGATTTCAGTAATTTTTTTTTAATTATTGTAATTTTAATTTCGAAAATGACGTTGTAAATAACTGATAACTATGTAATTCAAAGTTTATTTTTTTAAAAGAAGAAATAACTGTGGAAATATCGTTAAAAATGTGGAACAGTTATATTTTATAATTAAAAATGATAATACAATCATTGAAATATAATGATATATAACTTTCTATAACTTTCAAATAAATAGTAAGTACTCGTATAATACGCACGCCACTTAGTATCAGTTAATTGTACCATGCGTATAACCTTCGCACAAGTGCAACCAATATGTTGACTAAGTTTTAACGCAATCTGATGAAGGGTATGGCATCGTAGAAAGTACGAACAAAATAAATTTTTATAGCGTAGAAAATATTTTACTGTTTATAGACAGACCTGTAGTTGATTAGAATAAGCGTTATTATAGCAGCTGATTTGTTTTTCTTTATAATACTAGAACTAAATGAACGGTTGACAATAAATTATCTTAGGAATTATGTTTTTTATTTTTATTTTGTGTAGATAGTTTAATCTTAATAATTTTTTAGTTGAATGGTCTAAGGGCTACGATGGCTATCCGAGTACAGAACCAGAGTACAAAACTAATCCAACTGTAGAGATGTGTAAGACAGGGTGACGTAATATCCTCGAAATACTTTACCCCTGCATTGAAAGACGTCTTCAAGCTACTGGACTGGAAAGGATACGGTTATGGATTGTAGAAGTAAGGAGTACCAACTCCTATATTAGAACAGTTGAAAAAGTGGCCATCTGTAAGCAGTAAACAGCTCCAAAACACTCCACAACAGCGCTGGAGTAGCTACTGGGATGAAATTAACTTAGCAGTTGTCGACGGTTTAAGTGTACTAGCTAAACTGCTCAGTAGCTCTAAAATTTAAAATAATTTTATTTAATAAATATAACCTCGAAAAATTCGTCTATTCCACTAATATTTTTCGGTGCGTTCTTTAAAATTTACCTCGTAGTTATAGTGGCGCCACCCTTATTTAATGGTTTTTATGGACACTTTTTAATACACAGTCTGTAATTCTTACTTCTTCACTCCATAGATATGGTATTAACGTCAATGGCGTGTACGTTACTCACCTTCGATTTGTCGACAATATAGTCCTTATGGCAGAATCGCTGAAGGACCTACACACTATGTTCAATAATCTCAATAGTGTCTCTCAACGAATAGGTCTTAAGATGAACACGGACAAAACAAAAGTCATGTGTAATGTCCATGTCACACCTATGCCGGTGGTTTTTGGGAGTACTTAGCTGAAAATGTTGACGAGTATTTTTACTTGGGACAAATAGTCCAACTAGGTAAGTTCAACTTCAACCGACAGGTCAATCGACGGATTCAACTCGACTGGGCAGCGTTCGGAGATCACAACACATCTTCTCGTCAGAAATACCTCAAAACTAGATTGTACAACCAGTCCGTGTTGCCAGTGATGACCTATGGATCTGAGACGAGGTCTTTAACTGCTGGCCGTCTGAGGAAGCTAGAAGTCGCTCAGCGAGCTATGCTCAAGAGTTCAAACTTAGGAATGAGGATATCTGCAGCAGAACCAAAGTGACCGACATCGACCAATAAATTAGTACGCTGAAGTGGAAATTGACCGGCCATATAGCTCGAAGAACCGAATACCGATGGGGAAAAAATGTTTCTCGAGTGGCAGCCCCGTACCCGCACGTGAAGTGTAGGACGTTCCCCCCCTAGATGGAGTCAAAACCTGATAAGACATGCACGAAGTTGATGGATTCAGGTAGCTCAGGACCGTGCTTTGTGGCATTCCTTGGGGGAGGTCTATTTTCAGCAGTGGACTTGTGAAGGGTTTTAATGATGTTGAATGATAATGGCATTATATTAATATGATACATAAATATAATGGACGTTACGGGTAGAGTCCATCTATCCATAGAGTCCATTCTATTTATTTAAGTATAGGTAGGGTATAGAATTTTATCGATATAATTTGATACAATGTCTTATCCCTATTATTAGTTCCGTGGACGTGCACCTTCTGCTGTCAGCGCCAAAATGGCGGAAATCAAATCGCTTCATCATGTCACGGTTTATAGCCAGTCAGGCGTACTTGTATATATATAGAGGTCAGTGATTAGACCTTATATACATGTTATATTATTAAAGATTGAATTATTATAAAATAAACACATGAGATATGTCGACACTAACACACTACTCATGAAATCCTATCCTTTTAAACGCCCATATTGTGACGTTTTATCATTCAATAACTATCGCTAGAATATTCAACATTCATTCCGGTGTCCGCGGAAAAATAAACAAAACTCATTCATCGATATTATTTACACTAGTAACAATGGAGTGTGGACGACTTACCAGTGGACTAAGATGGAGTTCTTATTCTTTCGCGCCATCCAACCCGAGTATACCATCTGTTGTGATAGAGGACTGTGATAGTGAACAAAGCAATGATCCAATTCCTGTGAACGATAACTATTTTATAACTTATCCCGATGACGATAGCGATGTCGAGACAAAACTTTTAAAAAATAAAGATTATTTAAACAACACTACCAATCACGACCGCCGTTACGGAAATCCCCTTTTCATGTCAGCAGAGGAAGTTTTAAGTGATGCGATAAGTGAAGACAGAGATGCTGAAGAACTAATGAAGAGTGAAGCAAAAAAGTTTCAGGATTATAAGTTTTGCGAGGCAGTTAACGACTTCGACATTGAGTTGGAAGGCGGGGAGGCGGTGCCTATAGTTTACCTCTCTACAACGCGAGCAGCAAGACTGCAGAGAGCACTTCGTCTCGCCGGTTTAAAAAAGGTTTGCTTGTTTTTGTTTTTTCTCTTCAAAGTATTAATATTTCCATTCTTTATTTTATCTGAAGGAGTAAGGTTTTAA